TAAACAAATGGCGAATAGTAGTACAGTATGAAATTACGGTTAATAAAACGTGTATCTAATTATGCACCGTTTGACAATTGTTCAGTAATTTATGCTTTTATGACGTCTCCGGGTACATATTCATCACGAGGTTAGGGGTCATCGTCGTGCGAAGTGCTTAAGGCAAATAGTAAATTGTCGTATTTTTAGAGGTTTTATTGTAATAGCTTGGAGAGTCTACGCCTGATTCTAGTGTTCGAAAAATGAATCTGTAGATACATTGCTCTGTAGATATTTAAGGACTAAAAAATGAATCTAGATGCAATGATGCAAGAAATAAGATAGGTATTAAGCAATTTTTCGCAAATTAAAAATTGACGCAGAACATTTTTTCCTGGCACGACCCATATTCTCGTCCGTAACCCTTTTCACCAAATAATTACACACTAGTTGTAACATACACAGGTTCAAAACTTTTATATGCCAGTGTAACACTTTTTTCTATAATCTTAAACTGTTCATTTCAGGTATGGGCATCACGATTATAACTTATGACAATAAATTCCAAATGGGACTTATGATCGACAAAGTATTGATCTCCTCAAAGGAAGAAGCTCAGAAATTGTTGGATGATGTTCTCAAGGAAATTCGTCGTATGGAAGAGGAACTAGGGTTGAGTTGACCTGGCTTATCCAAAGAAAAAGGTGGGTAGCAGATTTAACACAAAGATAAATCTTGCAGATACTCTTACTTTGTGGGATCCTTCTAATGTGCAACAATCATATAAAGACAAATGTTTTACAGAAAAATACATCAAATGTTAGTATGGTGCAAATTGCAGTTTTCTCCCAACTATGACCTTCATAATGACCTCGCCGAGGAGCAACACATTGTAAGATGTGTCAAGAGATATTTTAGGGCCAACAGCGTTACTGGTAGTGTCACCTGAGAAGATTCCTTAACTAAAGAGTTACATGGCACATCAACAGAATCTCCCAAGATCCCGCATTTCACACCAGAAGAGCTTCAAGATCATATTAAGGACCTCAAGGTGAAAGGAAGTAAAGCACCTGGAGAGGACCAAATCACCAATAAGGCGCTGAAGCTGCTTGCGCGGAAGTCCTTAACTTACCTGATGGCGATAATCAATGCCATGCTAATGACCCTGTACTTCTCATGGGCGTGGAAGACCGTTGATGTTATAATGATGCCAAGGAATGTAGATTAGATACTCCCCCAGAATAACTGTACCATTAATCTACTGACAGTATCTTCTAAGCTCGCTGAATAGGTGATTCTACCTCACCTTGAAAATTTCCGGTCAGATCACAACGTGATTCCTGACGTGCAATTCGGCTTTCGGTCTGAGCATGGTATGTAGTTATAGCCGGTTAGGCCTGTTGAGCGAGTAACCAGGGGATTCACCCGTAACGAAAGTACTGGCATCTTGCGTCTTAATGTTTCAAGGGCATTTGAGAAGGTGTGGCACAAGGGCTTCCTCTACAAATTGATCCAGCCCCTTAAGGGTAGTGATTTTAGCGCAGTCTAACAACAATAAAAAAAGAAAATGATAAAAGTAAGTTGTGAGAGCTAAGCATCCTCAATGCCCGATTTAACACCGGCACCAAAGCAGTTTTCCAAATGAGTAGGTAATTATAAAACTTCATTTGAACTGAAGTTTATCAAGGTATATAGTGTTATGGGATCTGGATCTACTAGTATGTTAGGATGTAGCGAGGAGGATAGATATCTGGAAATTTTAGCTGTAACGCATAATCTCACTGAGGCAAGGCGATGTGAAAAGAACTACGACGAATAAAAAATTTTCCTTACAGATTGCTTTAAGGGCTCGTCGGGTAGGCAAAGAAATATGGAGATTTTGTATAAGGAAATCCTACCATTTAGGTGGCAGTAATTTTTTTGTGGTACCATTAGATTGTTGCTTCTTAATGATAAGTTCAAATTGGCATCGTGCTAGGGCTGGATCATTCACTGCCATTTTGATAAACGTAATAAAACCCATTTTATGACGCCCATTAGGGAGCAATATTCGAAGTCATCGCACATGAAGAATCTACTGACAGAAAGTATGGGAATATCAGTCCAGATTTAGATGCGGAAGAAGTACAATATACCAAATCTTCTTACTACGAGAAATACAGGCAGAAGGCTACGGCACGTGGAGTCGACATTTGTTTGTCTGTTTGTTGGAGATTTATTTAGCATTAATGCTACAATGCCAATTTTGTATAATGATTCGGTTACAATTTTTCTTCAATCCATTGTCTGTAATTTTACATTGTCTATTAAAATTAAAATTGCATTATTCGTCGATTACAAACAAGCACACGATAAGGTAAATCACAAGAAAATGATTGAGGCTATAATAATACTGGGTGTCGAGGAAAAACTTATTAGAATACTAAAGATATTAATGAAGAATACAAAAATAGAGTCAAAGTCAATAACGAATTATTGGATTCTTTTGTAGCTCGAGGAGTCAGACAAGGAGACCCACTTTCATCAGTTCTTTTTAGCCTACGTCTTGAAAAAATTGTAAGAAATCGGAAAATAAATAGAGAAGAACTACTATATCATAAGAAACACCAATGCTTAGCATTCGCTGACGATTTAGTGATCATAATCAGAAGTAATGAAGAGGCTGGAAGACAAACCACTGTTAATGGGATTGAGTATTACTGAAGAAAAAGAAGTACATGAAATGGACAAAGGAAGAATTTAAAATTGAGAGGTTAACAGTGAAAGTACTCAGTGGCAAAACTTACAAATTTGAAAAAAATCAAAGTTGTACGTATTTAGGAACTGTTTTCAAAAGACCAGATATAGCGGAAGAAATTCGAAATTGTCTGATGATGGGTAACCGGTATGCTTACTCACTGAACAGACTGCTAAAGACTAAAATCGTACCCAGAAACACTAGACTGGGGTTATATAATACTATTATAAGATCTATTGTCATCTATGGCAGTGAAGTATAGATATTAAATGCAGAACAAAACAAAATAGCTATTTGCGAGAGAAAAATCTTACGCAATATATGTGGGAAGCGGGAGTACCAACAACAAAGAACTGCAATATCTGTATGGTGAACCTGATATAGTAGGAGCATTGAAAACTCAAAGATTAACATGGTTGGGACATGTCCAAAGGATGACGGAGACCAGAATACAAAAAAAAGTACCAATAAGCAATATTGGTGGAAAAAGAGACGAGGAAGACCGAAAATCAGATGAAAAAATATAGTGGAAATGGATATCTAACGATTAAAAAAATACTGTTACCAAAATTGTCGCAAACATTTACCTATTTCCTGAGCTAGAGCGCCAGACGTCGCGTCATTTTGCTTTGTATCCTTAGAATTCGTGGTATATTATTTCATTATGCCTCAAAGAACTTAGTGACAGAATTACTCTTCTCTTCGCCTCCTTTCATCAACTTTTTTACCAGTAATGATTTATCATATCACTTCTGAATCAAGGTTTTCGAACTATGGTTATTAAACTCATTTTTTTATTGATCTTTTCAGATAGAGGAATATGCCATCGTCGTTTGGGATTACGAAGGCTGGAGGCTAGTCTTTAAAGCCTTGAACTAGTTCTGGAATTTGGTATTATTTCTGTTCCGTGGACTATATACAAAAAGGTGTGTTAAAATATATTGAAAATGGTGTTTGGATCAGAGAACTAATACATGCTAAATACTGTGGAAATGCTTATTTAATGTTCCTATATTATACCCTTTTTTAGTAGTAATATTTGATAAAAATAACAAGTTAACAATACGAATCATGCAGACAGAGACGTCGGTAACAACACAAGATAGTAGCGGATCATTTTATGGATACGAAAAAAAATTTTTTTTTCAGATAGCTTAAGGAAATAATGGATCCAGTGTGCAAAGTTCTACTGGAATAAAACTTTTTATCAAAATCGTTAATTTAATCGGTTTCCAAAAGCATGAGGTTATTTGTCGATGGACGAGGGTGACGTGGTCGGTACATTAAAAAGGGCAGGTAACCTCATATTCGTATGTAGCTGGACTTGGAATGCCTACCCCAGAAGGTCCTGGGCTTTGCTTGTTTTGCGAGGTGCCATCTTAAAATAAATGAAGTGTCGCCTAAGATAGATAAACCAAATATCCAAGAATTCATTCTAAAATTGATCCATCATAAGGTTACTTTTGAGTCATTATCTATATACGGAGGCTCAACTATTAGATTGCAGACAAATTTATTTTTATTGTGGTCTAGTCCGTTATATTAAACATTCGAAATACTTGAATCGTACCATTCATAACTACCGAATAAGATTCCACCAAAATTCAATGAGTATTCCACAAACATCAAAAACAAATCGATCTCTGGTTTTCTCGGGACCAAAATTCTATAACTTCATAACAGAGTCATTAAAAGCAATTAGATCATTTGAAAAAGATCTCAAAAAATGGATTTTACAAAATTGTAGATATGAAAAATCATTATCGAAATCAATAATATTTTACTTCTATACTAACATTCGTACTTTTACTTTAGATTTAATTATCTGGATATTTTTCCTGACATCCCCATAATAATTCAATTCACCAAATTATATAGTATTTAAATTTTTCAGATACTGATTGTACTTTTAACAAACCCAAGCACAAGTGCAAACTTTTTTAAGTTCTTTATGTTTATTGTACACGATATTTAAAGTTTACCCGTACTTTGTGTCAATAAACATTATTATTATTAAAAATATATTATCAGAATTCTCAAATGTACTTGAAAAAGGCCACCGTGGTAGCCGAAACGTCGGCGTTAATAAATATTATTTCAAGCATATATGTAGTTTCATTTATCGGCCGGAATAACATGGATGATTAGTGAAAAGTTTTTGTGAGCAATATATTGAGAATATCAACCCTGCTGTAAATTTGAATTCGGGACTATTTTCGAGATTCGCTTCTGTTTGGATGTATTGAGTGATTATTTATTACATACTCGTTATTCATAGCGGTTCATTAGTATCATATTAGGACGAAGGATTTTTTTAGATATGTCCCATAAACATAAATAAACCGTCAGCATAGCGTAAATATGACCTGTAATAGGTTATCAGTTGTGCAAACTGCTATTGAACTATTTGGACGAGAGATATACATGGTGAGTTTTTAGTGTGTAATCGGTCGATAGCGTCGTTTTTATAAAAAAAATCTACAAAAATTATTTACAGAAATTGTAGCAAAATATGCGCATCTTACTCGGAAATATGCCACTCCTTACAGGGTGATTCATAACTGGTTCGTAACACAAACATTGATGTTTTTAAAAAGAATACCCTAAATACCTTGGACTGGTATATTTTGGAAGGCCTCTACTAATGAGGAAGTTTAATACAGAGTACCCTATTTGTCTGATAATACTCAACTTTGTTAGCTTGTAAGTTAGGCAGTTTTGTAGATAGAGTATCAAAGTTTTTGTCAAAATGATCTTCATGTCTCATAATTTTTTATCATTTAAACTATTTTAAACCTGTCTACTGTATGTACACAGTGTTTATTACTAAATATATCTTTGTTAACTCTCAACTGCATTTTTTACAGAATTGATTACCTTTTATACAGTGTGGCCAATATATAACAAACTGATTTAAATTGCGCGCCATTTTTGATACACGCATTTCAGTAGGTGGCGCCGTAGTAGTTGGTTAAAGCACATGCGTCCAATTCATCAAGGAGCGCTACACGATCCTACAACGCGTTCGGATAGTTAAAACGTTTTACTTAAGTAATGAGTCGATTTTTGCAGCGATTCGGAAGCTACAAGATTTCGGTCGCAATAATGTGCCGAGTATCAACACCAGTCGTCAGTTGATGCGGAAATTTGAACAAACAGGTGGAGTTAAAGACTTGCCAAGGTCGGGCCGTATTCGAACTGTTCGAACTCCAGGTAATATCAAGAGAGTTCGTGAAAGTGTAGTGGAGCGCCCTGAGACGTCTACCAGACATCGTTCTCAAGAACTGAGTATTCGTCGCACGTCATTATGCTTTATTAAAAAAAAATACTTGCATTTGCGGCCATACAAAATTCAGTTAACCCAAGAACTACAGCCTAGTAACCATAAAAGTCGCCGACAATACAGTCATGCAATATTGCAGATTTTTACCGACAACTGATAATGAATGATGAAGCCCACTTCGATATGAACGGATTTGTTAATAGCAGAGTTGTCATATCTGGGCTCCAGAGAACTCACGTGTAATCCGTCCGTTTGGTATGGGAGTGTTATTGGATCTTTGAAGACGCTGTAAGTAATTCTTTTTTACTGGCAGTGGAGAGCGCTACCGTGATATGGTGCAAAACTTTATGGATCCTCAAATGCAACAATTTAAGCTGCAAACATGTGGTTCCAGCAGGACGGAGCAACTTGTCACACAGCTAGGGAAACAACAAATCTTTTGCGAACAATATTTCCGGGCCGTTTAATTTCTCGATTTGGTGATGTCAACTGGCCACCAAGGTCATCGGGATTTAACGGGTCATAACTTTTTATATTTATATACCTCCCGAAACCTACCAAAAAGTGATGGAAAATGTAATCAAGAGGACTCAGGTTTGCGCGGCTTCTAGAGGCGGACATTTGTCTGATATCATTTTTCATACATAATTTCTAAGATGAAAAAAAATGGACGTATTTTATTTCATTTTACAAATATGCAAGATACAAACGAGTCAGTTACATATGCCTGGAGATTTTGGAGAATAAAATTACTAAATTTCAATGAAGGCTTGTAGCACCCCACTTAATATCTTCCCTTTGCGTCTATTCATTTCTGGGAAACTGCAAATAAATTAAAACTTTAGTTCCAGCCTCCTAATAACAGTATGTCAAAATAAAATGAATAATAGGGATAACCTAAAATTATAAAAATATACAGTACCTTCCATTTGAATTGTTCTAAAAAAAATACGTTTTGCTTTAATAAGCACCCTGTACAGATGGTGCAAATATAAAGAAAAGTTGAATGACAAGAAACTAGGGGATAGGACGCTCGTTTTGACCAATCGTTTGCTCTATCTGCAAAAGTGACAGACTTACAAGCTGTTAACTTCAAGTGTTTTTTCAAATAAAATATCCTGTAGCTCTTGAAGTAGCAATCCCTCTACAAGCTTTTTCTGGAAAAGGCCTTTCAGAATATACAATATAAAAAAATGAAATGTATGTTCATGTTGCCAGGTAGTTATCAATCATCCTGTAGAGAACGCCGTATTTTCCCAGTTAGGACCATATTACTGCCTACAGTTTTTGCAACCAACTTTTATTTTGGAACTGCTGTAAAATAGCGGTGGTATCGACTGATTACACACTAAGAACTCGCTCTGTAGATTAATCTACTATAAAAAAATACTTGCAATAGTTGCTAGTCACTGTTATTTATTACTGCAGTATCTTTTCTTGAAAAGTGACGTTCTAAAAATGGAACTGCTGAGAAAGTGGAGATTAAGAAAAATAGCAACCATAGCAACTATAAGTTTAGTTTTGGTGATTTTATTACCTCTGTGCTACCTGATACGCCAAATAATAAACTTGATCCTTAAGTTGTACTACGGTAAGTATTATGGTGGTATATTAGAAAATGCAGACTGCATGTGGGCTGCAGAATCAGATATAAATCAGTGTGTTACTATACTACATATTTACAAAACCTCGATAAAGAATCCAGGTGATTTTATAAATCGAGTCAAAGACTCCCATTCAAAAATATTCAAAGACTGCTTTCCTAAAATAACAAGCATCCTCAAGACCTTCATGGGGTATGGATATTTGGTAAAAAATCAAGTTTCTTCAGACGAAGCAGTGAGAATAGTGACAGTGGGATCATACCACAGTGATTACTTAGAAGAAAGTGACCTACCTAGAATTATTAACATAATTGCAAGCAGACCTCTACAGAAAGGTCTTATAGAAATACATCTTGTTCCCAAGCCCTTAAAACGGAAAACAAGAGATGTCACTGAATGGCATTATGCAGTAGTCTATAAAGTTCATCACATTGTTGGAGAAGGTTTGGGTCTTCTGATGTTTTGTATGGAAAGCTTTGCGGACGACCAAGTGAAAGTAAAGGAGTTCAAATCAAAGCTGTCGCAAAGATTTTCTGGTAAAACCAACAACAGAAGCTGTCTATCTAAAAGACTGAAACACTACTTAGCAAGTGTAATGTTGATATTAAAGCTGCCGTCTTTTGTATCGAATCAATTCAAGAAAGATTTGAAACATGCAAGGTCAGTAAGAAATGCGGATAATGTAGCGTTAAAAGGAGCGAATTTGATTTATGCTATCGAGTCTGAAGATCAGAAATCTCTTTCAAAGCTAATGGAGATAAAAAGAATTTCTGGTGCTACGGTCAGTTCCGTCATTTTAGCTGCAATTTGTCGAGCAATGAAGGACAATGTAAGTACATGAACAATAGACAGGTTGGTAATTGATTAGGTTTGAACTAAAGAGAGTTCAGAGTGCTGAGGGTGTATTACCTAATTTGAGTATTTCTGAGCACCAGTAATGAGCGACCTAACTCCACTTCTATTACTTTAGGTATCGATAATTAGTGTATACGAGGGCGGTTCAATAAGTACACGTGTTTGACGACAGAGAGCGTTCCTGAGGGAAGTTAGTGTTATCATCGTGTGCTGCGTATCAAAGGACGGCACAACAAATTTTCAGACTGATTGATAGGTTAGTTTGGATGAGGCAACCATTCGAGTAACACGTGTTCGTGATTTTCGCTAGGATGGTAAAAGAGCAGTATCGTTCGGTAATTCGCTTTTTGTTTTTGGATGGGAAAAAATGCAAGGAGATAAAAGCAAAGTTGGATGCTGTTTATGGGAACACTTCGTCATCTATGACCACAGTTAGATATTGGTAAAACGAATTTAAACGCGGGCGAACATCTGCTTCTGAGGAGGATCGACCAGGACGCCCGGCAGACGTGGTTACCAAGGAAATCATTCAAAAAGTCCACGACATGATTCTCGCTGATCGAAAAACGAAACAAAAATGGCAGGAACGTTGAGAAAAGTGTATCTTTTTAAAAGGGGATTATGTTGAAAAATAAAAAGATTTTTTTTAGAAAAAAATGGTGTCTTCATTTCTAACATGGGTACTTATTGAACCGCCCTCGTATTTTCGACTACACACATGGTTTTCTTGCGTTAGATTGAAACTATTGACTCTTCATAGACAGCGCTACTTGTCGTGGTCGTTGGTTGTTGCTACCATATTGAATAATACTTCTTAAAAGTCATCTGGTCGATAAAAATAATGCTTATTTCTGATCTCTATCAATTTTTACAATACGGCCTTGTTTTCAGAGTACTGCGACCGTTCCACAATCTCTAGAAGTGGCTGTTGTAGCGTTAGCACAATTTCCAGATTTGAATTTGAATGCTGCAACGCTGAAAAATAAGTATGCTTCTGGGGGTATATTGAATCTGCCTGTATTGGACTCCTCAACAAAAGATACTTTAAAGCTTATCAATGGAGCCATAGATGTTCTAAAAAAAAGTAATGAAGTTCAGGTGAGCTGAAAAAACTTAATTATGTGATTATTATGCGACAGAGACGAAACGATTTCATTCTAAATATAAAGAACATTCCATGTCATCTTTGCAGTAAATCGGATATGATTATATAGTTTGTCCTTGTCATTATCTATAATATGGATGGAGAAACCTCAATATACAGGGTGTTTCAGTTTATTGTTGCATAACTTTAAGATTAGATAGAACCTTTAAAATTAATGCATAAAGTCTATATAAACATGGGTCGAAAAATGCGTGGCTTCCGAAATACAGGGTGTTTAAATTTACTTTCTAAAATAGTTTTTTTAAATATTTCGAACAATATTTGATGTATATCAGTGAAAATTGGTATACTAGGGTTTTTTGGTACGACGAAACGAACCATGGACATAGTTTTACTGTAGCCGCTAGAGGGCGCTCTCTACTAGTAGTAGTATTAAAATGACCGAAACATTTTTCTTAGTGCAATTTTTTGCTTTTTGAATAAAAAAAATATTCTTCGCACTTGTCAACATAAAAAATCTCTCTTGTGAATTTTCGTTATAGTTAGCCGTTTTTGAGACATTTAGATTTTTAAGGTTCGATGCATTTTTAATTATTTATGGGAAAATAATATTTTTTTCACAATTTCGATTTGGGCATTACAAGTAATTAAGATGATCGTTTAGATGGTGTTTTTAAATACAGCAATAATTCCTAACTCCAAATAAACACAAAAAACAGAATATTAATTTGTTTAGTTTTCCAATATTATTTTTAACAAATTAAATTAATTATATACAACTAAAATGCTATTGGATAGTTAAGACAAACATACAACATCTAAAGTAGTTGCTCGAAATGTAAACCCAATTGTTCAATACACAATTCACATCTACGAATGATTGAACGTAGTTTATCATTATTCAAATAAGGCCTTATTTCATCACATGCATTCTCTATTCTGTCTATTAGCATATCTCTTGTGGTTACGGGAGTCTGGTACAGTTTTTCTTTTAGAAATCCCCACACAAAGAAATCTAATGGATTTAGGTCAGGGGATCGTGGAGGCCAGGCGACTGGTCCTCCACGACCGATCCATCTTTCTGGATAATTTTCGTCCAGCCAGTTTCTAACTATTCCCGAATAATAAGCTGGACAACCATCCAGCTGGAACCCGGCCAATCTTCTTAAATCTAACATAACATCATCCCACATATTTGCATGTTCAGCCTTTAAAAATCCCAAGAAGGTCGCAGCATTTAACCTTGCAGGCAAAAGGTAGGGTCCAAATAGTCGATTACGGTAGATACCAATCCACACGTTCACACTAAATTCATGCTGAAAATTTCTTTCCCGAACTGCATGCGGATTTTCATGCGACCAAATATGTTGATTATGAAAATTTACCACTCCACGTCTAGTGAAGCATGACTCATCGGTCCATAAAACGTTACCTAAAAACTCCCTATTATTATCAGTTCTATCAAGAATCCACTAAAAAAATGTGATTCTTCGTTCTCCGTCCCCTGGCTGTAGTCCTTGCACAGGTTGCAAATGGTAAGGACGCCTATGGTCATTTCTAAGAACACGGTGAACGTGGCTTGCTGAAATTCCCAAAGCATCAGAAACTGTCCTAACACTTGTGGTCGGATCTCTATCAAACTCACGCACAATCATACGGGTAAATCTGCGCTGACGAGCATTTATGTTTTGATCCCTTTGGAGATTTCCAAAACCATTTTCAATTATTTGGCGATGCACTCTTACAAATACTGAGCGAGTTGGATGTCGTCTGTTTGGAAATCTTCGTGCGTATTCTCTGGCTGCTTCTGCTGCGTTTCCATTTACAAAGCCATACACAAAATGAATATCCGCTAACTCTTGGTTGGAGAATAAAAATGGCATTTTTATAAAACTTATGAAAAAAACGGGTAAAAGAAACTAAATTTCGTGCATTCACAATTGCAAGAAAACGTTTTAGGTTTCAACAGACAACAAAAATAACTGTCAACTAATTGACGTTTAACCGTATTCTGCTTTCAATTTCAAAGATATTTGCAGGCACAGCCTACTTCTAAAAATTATCGAGATACTGACTTTTTAACGTTATTTTATCATAAATAATTGAAAATGCATCGAACCTTAAAAATCGAAATATCTCAAAAACGGCTAACTATAACGAAAATTCACAAGAGAGCTTTTTTATGTTGAAAAGTGCGAAGAATCAGTTTTTGTATTCAAAAAGCAAAAAATTGCACTAAGAAAAAATGTTCGGTTATTTTAATACACTACAGGTACAGTAGAGAGCGCCCTCTAGCAGCTACAGTAAAACTATGGTTCGCTTTGTCGTACCAAAAAACCCTTGTATACCAATTTTCACTGATATACATCAAATATTGTTCGAAATATTAAAAAAAAACTATTTTAGAAAGTAAATTTAAATACCCTGTATTTCGGAAGCCACGCATTTTTCGACCCATGTTTATATAGACTTTATGCATTAATTTTAAAAGTTCTATCGAATCTTAAAGGTATGCAACAATAAACTGAAACACCCTGTATAATAATAATAGTAATAATAAATGACTTTATTGAATACAACAAATAATCTTTTTACAAAAGTAATTTAGAAAAAAGTACAGAATACATTGCCTAATACTGGCGCAAGTCTAGCTTACTACTACTCTACTGAACCAAAATAAGACATAAAAATACAGGATAATCATAAAATAATACCGTGTTAACACTGAATGGACTGAAAGTAAATTAAAATTTCGACAAGATATTAATTAATACTGGTCACTATACAACTTGGTTACTGGTTACTATAAAATTTGCTGATATACCTACATATATTATAAACTTCAATCTCTATTCTAAAAAAAGTTTGTTCTGATTTGTATTTAGCAAATATTTCTTATATTGTAATTTGAAACTTGAAAGAGAAAGATTAAGAAACTGGCTGGGAATTGAATTAAATTGTTTAAGAGCATTGTATGAGAATGAACGTTAAAACAATGCACTACTATGAAGCGGCATAGTTAATTTTTTTGAATATCTTACATCTTGAATGTCGGAAAATTGAGCGTTCTGTTATAGAATCAGGTGAACCTGGAGTGTTTATAATTTTTAATAAAAAACTAGAAAAATGGAGAGTGCGACGCTCATTCATTTTAAGCCATTTAATTTCTTGAAACAAATGAGATATATGATCAAACCTACGCAGACCATAGATAAACCTGAGGCACTCATTTTGCACCTTCCGAATACGACCTCTACTAGCCTGATCTAAGCAAAACCCATAGACAAAATCGCAATAATTGAAATTGGAAAGAATTAGGGATTCATACACTTTTTTTAGTGATCTGTTTAGTATGTGTCTGTTATTATACAAAACTTTTAGAGAACAAAATAATTTTTGCATGGGTCACCGATTTAATTGAATGTAATACGTGTTTTTGTTTTAGATGAACTACATCATATTTAATTATATATTCGAGCAGATTCCACTTCCTATATTGAGAAGGATTCTCAGCGTGAACCGTACTACTGCCTGTCTTTCTAGTATTCCTGGGCCTCAAAAGCTAACGTTTTTTGGTGGCTTAGAATTGGTGGATGTAGTTGGATTTCTTGGACTTCCATCATACTTAGGTGAATAATAGTTTATCTTTTTCCGATAGCTTCATCCCTCACTTACTCCATTTTTCTATAGATACGTTTCCATTCCAACAAATCTGCATGACAACAGGTGCCAGAAATTTATTAGCATGGAAGCAGTCTACTGGTTTGTTCGTACAGCCTGTTTGCTGACAATCAGCAAACTGATAGTCGGCGACAAGTCATGATCTAGTTTACGTAGTTAGCTGTCACTGACTAGTCGCCGACTGTATTGATTGCGTTCATGAGAACGTTACGAGTTGGCTGAGGGAGGAAATACCGATTACCAACAAGTAATCCGTTGTTCGTACAGAAATTTCTGACCGTTTGATAATTTGCCCCTAAATTGTCAGAGCTCGAAATCAAGCACAATCATTATTCGAATGTAAAATTTTTCAGAATGAAGTAGAGAATTTCGGAAAAGTTGGAGTATGTTCATTTGATGTAAACCAGAATGATTTTTCGTCCAACTGTCTGAATGTGCCAGAATTTTCCTCTAGAGATGAACACATGGACACTTTCAAGAAAAAAGAACAGCACCCAAAAATGTCAAGTAGATTTACTCAGTAATTCCCATTCAATTCTCATATAAAAAGTATAAGCATAAATTCGAAGAAATGTAACTCCACATATCGATTGACAAGTTGAAGAAGTAAATACATAGTAAGAATTCTGAATAAAAGTCTGCAGTGATTATGCATGAGAACTGTACAAAGCATTTTGAATGACTTTTAATAAAACTCAGATAGGTTTTTGTCCCCTTGTCGCCCAGCCTCGAAGTGTATCCACAAAAAATATTTATATATTCTAGCTATGTAAGTCCAACCCAAAGCTGCCGAAAAAAAAAACAAAATAACGAATTCTGGAGATTTTGTGATACAGCTTTTTTTTCACGGGTGCCTACGGAGAGGGAGTGGCCGACTCTGTCTGCTGGGGTGAAAATAATATTTTTCCCATACAGGCTATTTTAAATTCGACCCTCACAATTGGAATCTCGGAAACTTTAAGGATATGAAGTCACGTAAATAGGGGCAAAGTTGCGTATTGAGATAATCAGCAAAATGTCGCTCAGAAAGTTTTGAAATTAAAAGTGCTTCCGGAAAGAACGACTTCATTTATGGTGGGATTTCAAAATAAATTGCACAGCAACTCTGCCACATTTTCTCCTCTACAAGACGGCACAATTGGAATTTCAATATGACGTTTCGTCTCTTGTCATCCAGCATCAACTTAATTTTTTCTTATAGACGCCCATATTGGATTCTTACACACATGAATAGACTTTTTATTCTGAAAAATGTATACGTCATACATTGACATTGCAATACCTTTGTTATTCCAGAAGTTCCAAGGTAGGCCTTGAAATTATCAGATTTCATTTGTTTGCACAGCAACAGTGTTTCGTAGGCTGTGAGGACCTCTGCTTATTTATGGTTATCATTGTTATTACTCTCAATAACATTTTCATTTCGTATTCAGATTTCACCATATCTTTTTATTTCCTTATAATTTTCATCCAACAACTGATTTATGGTCAACCAACGAAATACATCACTGAATTTAGGGCTGAAAAGACCATTTAAATGTAAAAAATTCCAATATAGTGTCCGTATAATAAAACAAAATTGATGATGGAATTCGTAAGAAGAAATGTCGAATTGAAAATTTGACTACGCCATCTTGTAAACGAGAATAAGTAACAATGACAATATGCAATTTATTTTGAAATCCCATGTCAAATAGAGTCCGGAAAAAATAGAGCGATTTTGGGATAAATTTGGTGAGCGAAACAAACATCTGATAATTTCAGGGCCTACCTAAGAAAAATCCACCACAAGCTGTGCTACGTAGCGTTGGACTTTGAACAAGAAATGGTCACCGCTGCCAGCTCCAGCTCATTGGAAAAGAGCTATGAACTTCCCGATGGACAGGTTATCACCATTGGTCATTGTATGACGGATTATGCATTTTTTGAATCAAAGTTAAAAAAACTATTCATCGGGGCAAAAATGCAATATAGCGTCCTTAAGAAATAATAAAGTTGATGCTAAGGACAAGAGACGAACCGTCATATAGAAATTCTGATTATGCCTTCTTGTAGAGGAGAAAACGTCGCACCGTTAATGTGCAATTTATTTTAAAATCTCAATACAAATAAAGTCAGGAAAAAATCAAAACGATTTTGGGAAAATTCAGTTTTTCCGTCATTCTTCGGAAGTATGTACTTTGAATTTCGAAACTTTCACTAGAAGAAAGAAGTGAAAATACTGCAAGGATTCAATAACGTCTTTGAATAATAAAGGGTGTTATACACTAAAAAGTTAAAACAGCTGAACATAACTACACTTATCAAGATCTGCCTACATAGCTATAAGTTTCACAGCGTTCCCAACATGGACAAAAAAAAACTGAGACTACGAAAATACATACGCAAAAGATTAGTGATTACAAAAGTCGTATTAATTATGGTTCTTGAAAGTTATGTCTTCTATTGTTCGGATTTTTCATACTGTACTCATAATCTTCATTTTGCTATTACCGGGCCAATAAACAAAATATCGAGCACAAAGCACTTTGGCGCTGGCTGATATTTAAAAAGGATTTTCATTAAAATTTCTTCTGCCACTTGCTCACCCGAAAATGTTACAAAATTGTTTCTGTTGAATTGTGGCACCGTTTTCTCTACAAAATTCAGGTTTTTGGATTTCATTCTCTCCTCAGTAGATCTTCAAAGTCTTCATCTTCGTGGTATATCGCTCAGTTTTTTTTACACCGAAGCAGCCGCGCAGGTGAACGCTATATGGCTGCTTTCAGGAGCTTAAAGAGACTTTGTTATTCCTATTTTTGAACTGCCTAGAGTTATTAGAACTGGGAAAAGCTCCTCATGTAGATTTTTACACGATCTCGACACCCTCTGGACAAAGGAGCGGTCTTATCGGCCAGTTTTAGATGTACGAAGTTCGATACTGTTACAAAGGGAGGCCGAATTCAGGCAGGCACATCGCGCGGCGACACCATGGAAGAGAGCTCTGAGGAGCAAAGCCCGTTGGCGTAGCTAGATCGCCAACGTCCCGTCGGTACGAAGGTGTCACCAGACCGTCCATTAGAAAAGAGTAATCGATCATTAAATGCCTCTTGCGAAGCAGTTTTAGTCCTCAAGATAGTTTCGACACACTCTGATACCTGTCACTGTCACTGATTGACTGGTGTCCTCTGATCTGTCAGAAGGGTCTGAACGAACAGCGGATTAGCAGTCGGAAAACAGTAAGAAACTGTTACCGACAAGTTACCGACTACTGTACGAACAAACCAGCATCGTATTCGGGAACAAGCAGTATTTGCACCGCGCATGTTGCGCCACAAATATCAGGCCACGTCCGTCCCTTTCAATTCTAACAAGGTGCAGGCACATGTGCTTGCAATTTGTTATACTAGAAATATTACCGATAAGAGTAATTTTCTTCGTATATTCAAAACTGTACTTCGATAACTTCCTCTTGTCATAATTTGACAATTAATTTTTTTGATAAGGTACGTCTCTCAGAACAAGTTATAGATTTCTCGGATGTCGACAGGGTGGTCGGAAGGTTGAAGGGGTTGCTCTTCATTATTCAATAAGCGATGGTTTATTCTGACTTTTTCATAAAATTGCGCATAACGACTTTTACCCAAGTATACCGGTTGTTGCGTACTTAAATCGACATAGTAAAATGGTAGGCAGTATGGACAGAGACCTTATCGTAACTGAAAATAAGAAAGTTCAGTTTTTATGGATATACAAGACGATTTATCTAAAACGCCAAATCTGTAATGAAGCACCCCTGCACCGATTATGGTGAAATTTTGTACAATAACAAATTTACCTAGGAATATTTTAAGACTAGACGGACGGTTGAAAACACCAGGGACGTACTCTGTTTTTTTCACTTCTTGTTTCTTATTCAAATCAACACCTTTTAGGCCGAATATTGAAATTGCTGACTATCTACAAAATCGCTAATGAAACAAATTGTGTTTATTCAAACATCCTATTTTTAGCAGTTTATGTGAAGCGGAACTCAGGCATTATCAATTTGGTTATATCAAAATTGTACAAAATAATGCTTAAAACTGAATTACACATATTTTGGGAGCTGAAAATTCCAAGATCAAATACACTTTTTAATTTCCTTTCAACTTAAGTAAGCTATACTCCGAATTTATGATTATTTCGCAGAAAAAAGAGCAATATATCATATAAATAAACGTGGTAATCAATGTTATGCACCTTGTTTAGTTTTTTAGTAATTTTTTAATGATAATTTTACTAACTAATGTTATACTACATCAATTCCGCTTTTAAGTATGCAAATGTACTGAATTTGACTCTCCAGACTAATTCAAGATTATGGCGAAAATGTAGAAAAAGCTAAAAGGTCGGCACGGGTATTATGTAAGAAACCTATAAAACGTAAAAAAAACCTATAAAATGCCAACTTTCAGACTAGATAGTTTTTAGGGTGCAAACAGTCATTCCACGTTTGTTCACTAGGATCGTTGTGAGCGTCCATCCATGGAGGAATGACTCAACTAAACTACACGCATTGTTGGTTGCATATGTTTTGTGAAGCCAAGCGGTCTGTAGTTTTCATATCTGAGAAGAAAGTTGGTTGAATAGCTAGATCGTATCTGGATGATTATGTGTATTGGTCTGCATGTATATAAAATCAGTGATATTTGCTGTGTGAGAAAATCATTACTTAATATGCTGCCAATAAAGTATATCTATTTGCTGTGTCCGCCGAGTTATTTATGTTGTGCTTTCTGAAGAGAGCTTATGTTCAAAGTTATAAATTTCGAAAAACTTTGAGGACAATTACGGGAAATCACCACCGCGACTGCGTTGTGTGTAATTACTGTTAGCATGTGTATGACTTGAAATTCGACAGTGTACTGTGAATATAATTATTTCTTACATCTCTCATTATTGAAATTCATCAAATCTGCCTATGTAATTTCCAGAATGAATAAAAAAGTGGATGCGCAACTAATTTCTAGATTTGAATCTCAAGTAAGTGTATTTGAGACAAGAATTTAATGAAATTATCATCAACACATACAAATAACAGCTTAGAGCTCCAGTCATGCCATCTCTAAAGCAGATTTTACATCACATTAGAGTCAAACATTGATAACTGAAGCCTCATGAGGTTTAGGCAACACGTACAACTAAGTGCTAAGCTAACATCTTGTAGAAAAACCTAATCAATGTCAAAAAACCAGTATAATGTAAAAAAATCGATATAACGTCACTTTTCAAGATTCGTAATACCCGTGCGGGACTCTGTATTTTCAGCATAATTACGTTTACGTGATGTCACCATAACCCTTAGCTAGATTTAGTTACATAATAATGCAAATATGATAAATCACATAATTAAATGTCAAGCCCGGTCATGCATACTTCGTTTTTGTAGGTTTTTAACTCAATTTCAAGTTGGTCTGGAGGGTCAAATTCAATGGAATTAAAGGCCGTTTCTGTTTTATCTGTTGGTGGAATTAAAAAATACCGACAAAAGTACATATGGCGCATAACATTAATTTTCCTATTTCATTCATATTATGTGTTGCTGTTGCTTTTTTCTGTGAAGATATACAGTATAAAAGAGTATAACTTACAGGGCGTTGCACTTAATAAAATACAAGCAAGAAAAAACGAATCCGACTCTCGAATTTCGAGTTCCCAAAGCATATTTATTTCAGCTTTAAGCATTATTTTCTGAAATATTGATGAAACAAAATCGGTTGCCCACGAAACTTTGAGTTTTATGTCACATAATCTGCTAATATCGAGATATTTTAATAAATAAAAAGTGTTGAGGGAAAAAATAAAAGTACTTTCCATTGGAATTTCTTGAACGTAGTCAAACATTTCAATATTCAACCTGGAAGCGGTCGATTTTGATAAGAAACAAAAACTAAACAACTAAACAAATTGAGACCGGCACTGGATTTTTCAACCGTCTATCTGGTGTTACGTTGCTCCTAGGTAATTTTGTTATCGTGCAAATTTTTAAAAAAATCGGCTTAATGGTGCTTGAGATATGTGGTCTAAAGATTTGACGTGTTTAGATAAAACTAAATTTAAAGCTGTTTTATTTTTAAATACCAGCATACTACCTACCATTTCACCATGCTCAAGTACGGAACACCCTGCATGAGCCTTAATGCATTCCAAATGGGATGTGCTATCAGCTTTTAAAATGTTTCTATCGAACTTCCGAACACCTTGTATGGAACACAAGAATGAATGTAACATTACGTTACGGGTTATCTAACTCGTTGAATGAAGCTTTATTTGCTGTAAAAATTTCGATTTGTTCAAGGATTACTTAAGAGAAATCGACTCAGTCCTTTTATAACAGATATCGTCATAGTCTCATAGGATATTTTTCTATACGAACTTGTGGTATTTTTTGTTCTCAATATGCCTCCACCTTATTCTGTATAGACACACATTTTAACTCGACTGTACTAATAGTATATTGGAGCAGTTTCAGTTCATATCTTGCAACGGATTTTAAAATATTCTCGTAAACGATTTAGCACAAATTTTCATGTTATGGATGTAGTATAAAGAAATATAATGTTTTGAATTATAGAAATTATATGATTTCCAGAGATAGGATTCTGTGTACTTACCTATGACGACAGGTTACACATTGGTATAACCTGTACTAAGGGATCACACTCAAAGGCAGGACTGAAAAAAATAACCGAGTCTATTTTTAAATATATAGACGAGATGTACCGAGAAGTATGTACTTTTTGAATTATAATTATAATAATATATTGATTAATTAAAATATACAAATATATATTAAATAACTAAGTAGATTTTTCTTTGATATTATCCTCTTCCTGATCAGTAACGATTAGTACTAATCCCCATATTATTAGAGTCATCCCAGACCACCAAAGTAATGAGGTGACTTCTCCGAAAACAGCAAACCCTATAATGGCCTGAAAAAATACCACAGATAAGGACACCTGGGTATACATCTTTCTCTGTCAAGAGAAATAACATACATTTCCTTATCAACTATACATTAACGGGGTAAGTATGTATTATACTATGAAAAAGATATAACTGGAGATAAAATATTTTTGGCTCTTCAGGATTTTTCTTAGAAACATATCTATGTGAATACAAGTCGTGGGTGGGTAGGTGGTATAGAAAATTTTAAGACAATATCTATCAACATAATATATTATCTAGTTCAGTACTATTTATCATTGAAACATTCACTAGTGTTGTTACTCATTTTACTGATTACATCACTAGGTTTATGAGAGATGATACAATGTTTCAGTGAAACTGTGATCAGAACCTGACCAATACTTACAGAACATATATAATTTGTTGATGAACTTATAGCGGTTGCTTTAACTGATCCACACTGTTGCAGGCCTCTCACAAAAAATCTCCATACAGCTGCATTGCAAACAATCATTGTAATAAATAACAGCAATCTGATAAAAAATCTATCCTAAAAACAAACATACTAATTTTAAAATCATGTCAGCCCCCTCCCTTACGTACAGAAGACTTGTAGGAAATTACCACAGTATTTTTGCCAGTATTTTTTATCCTTATATGGACCAAAACTAAAATTCCCCGACCTGGCTTGCAGGGTGACATTTCAGATCGGGCTCATTTTTTTCTAGAGAGTACCTATGGAGGCATGAAGCTGTGAAGTTACAGGGTACTGGGTTAAACTGTTCGGTAGAAGACGCTCTTAAAGTTTGAAGTTTCGACAAAAATGTCAATTTTAACATTTTGTCAACTTTTTCATTTTATCGCTACTCATGTCATTGGAAAGCATTAGGCCCCATAATATATTCCCTTTAGTAAGTAAAGTTTTCCAAGGAAGTCAATAATGATCTCCAAATTCTGATATGATAATTCATTCAGCAGATATTTCAAGCTGATTTTTACGAATTTTTTTACTGGTTTATTGGGCTGACATTTCGAACGCTTTCCTAAAGGGAGAATGCACAAAAATATTTTTTTTTTCGTAAACCACCTATCTAAATGGAATTTTACTGTACTCGGGTATTGGTCGAATAGGCCTCTGGATCCAATTTTCGATATTTTGGTCCAACATTGGCCATTTTAATGATAATGAAGGCCCCATTTGTTTTCTAAAGAGAACCAATAGAGGCATGCGCCTTTGTAAAATCTCCTAGGTCGAACAGTTCGCTCTGGAGTCATGTTCAAAGTTACAAGGCTTGGAAAAATGCGAATTTTAGCGTTTTTGGCAACATCTCCATTTTCTCACAGGAAAGCATCAGGCCCCGCAGTATGTTACTATTCCGAAGTAGATTGGTCCGGAAAAATAAAAAATTGGTTCTAAATGCCTACTCGACCAATTTAGAGGCTCAAGAACAACATTTTTTGTTTCAGAAGGCATTCGAATTGTCAGCTCAAAAAATTAATTAAGAATTTCGAAAAAAAATTACCTTTGACTGGAATATCTGCCGAACAGAATTAGATTGCAATTTGAGGGTCATTTTTTAATTATCCGGACATTACTTCGGAATAGTCATATATTACGGAGCTCAATACTTTCCAATGATAGGAGTAACGAAAAAATGGAAATGTTTCCAGAAAGGCTGAAAATCGTATTTATTCCGTTACCTTGAAACTGACCGCGTCTCCAGAGCGAACTGTTCGACCTAGGAACTTGACATTTTCCAAAAGGTCATGCCTTCATAGGTTCTCTTCAAGAAACAAAACTGAGTCCGATATGAGTCAGGACACGTATCATGAAATGACCAATTCTGGTTCAAAATATCGAAAATTGGATACTAACGCCCGTCCAACCTATTTAAAGGGTCCAAGGACAAATTCCCATTCATATAAAGGGATAGGCTGCTCCATCACCTTTACGAAAAAATGAAATATACACATTTTTCCTACTCGTACTGTCCAGGGAAAAATGAGCCATATCTCAGATATGACCCGCCAAGCCAGGCGGTGAAAGTTTAGTTTTGACCCATATTGTATATTCCCCTCTAGTCGTCGAGACGTGATGGGTCTGAAAGGTAACTGAAGGATGAGTTTCAAAGTTACTGGTATGCACCATTCATTTCAAAGGAAATGCGACATTGGATTTTTGTATACTTTATATATAAGTTCGAAGTATACTTTTGTTATAAAGGCTACATCAAAAATGTAGTTTGAGTCGCACCTGAAATGAAGACAGTCCGCAAAGCTTGCCCAGAGTGCTTGCACTAGCTGCGAAAATGCCCGACACAATGGCGTTATGAACATTCTCCATCTTAACTTAGCATATATTTGTTTCCTTCACTTTTATCCGTTATCTGTAACTAATACCTACATGCATGGTATCCCACTAAAAAAATATATATATAATTGGTAAATAAACAAGGATAGTATGCGAGAGATAAGAATTAGTCATGTATGAACATTAAAGAGAACATAAATAGATTACGGGCTATTGATTTTGTTTATAAATAGGTACATCCTCAAAAGGTAGGATATATTTATCACAAACAGTTGTGTGTTACATTCATTATTAATGCTTGTAGGTACGATGTTGATGTTATTATAGTCCATCAGGATAATTAATATACCTGCAGCATGCAAAAACAGCAGTTTTGTACCTCACCGATAAATTTCTGACCTCTAAAGTTCTAAGGGAGGGATTATGAACAATTAAAAAGTCTACCATTTGATGAAATCCTAATTTAAAAAAAAAACAATGTTATCTAAAAACGGTGTAAATGTCGTAGACATTTTACTGAATTGTTATTGCCGCTATCAGAGATTAAAATGCATTGTATATTCTTAGAAATACACATACTACAAGGTATAAGTGAAAAAGCTATTCAAAAATATGGGTACGCCACTGTTACAAGCACACCTAAATCGACGTGGTAGACGGTTGCGATGATCAGAAGCGGTGTTGTCGTCCCAACGCATTTTTCACAAGAAGTACTCGTCAGTTTTTTTTGATAGGTTATCCAATATTTTAACAATTTTAAAGCAGAACCGTATAGTGTGCTATATCAAATTGATTCGTTTGAAAGGGCCAATCGAAATCTGTAATAAAATGTGTAATACCATAAAAAATGTAAGTTCAATTCAATTCAATTCAATTCAATGGACTTTATTGTAACACATACATAATTATGTATCCTTACAAATGGCGAAGTCTGGCCAATGGCCATTTATACTTAACCACAAATGTCAATGCTTATTACTACCTTCAAAATAAAATAATAAAAAAAAAACTGAAAAAGAAAAGGAAAAAGAAGAATAATAGTAAAAGAAGAATTAATAAATATGACATAATGCGTACGATTAGAACAAAAAACATAATACGTACGATTCAAAGAGAGGACAATAACCTAAGAGCTCAATAAGTAGTTTTTATATTTTTTTTTAGAAAACTTGCTGATGAAACATTGTTCGAAAGAGTTGATCAATTTCACCGCATTATACGTAAAAGACCGTTGAAAAATGGCTGTCCTATGTTGTGGCATTGTCAGGAGATTAATGTTGCGCGTATTCAAATTGTGAATTAAATTCCTACGAACAAGCTTTTGCATGAGATAAACGGGAACAGAAGTTTTTAATATTTTTACTACAAATGTAACAAAGTTGTATTTGAAAAGATCAGAAATTTTCAACCAATTCATTGAAGATATTGAGTGAGAAACATGATCGTACCTTCTTAAATTGTTTATGTAACGACTACATGAGTTTTGAATTTTTTGCAGTCTGTATTTTGTGATTTCATCCAGACAGGGATAATAAACTATGTTGCAGTAAGCGATTTTACTGAGTATGAGTGACTCGCATAACATTTTCTTAATTTTTCTATTTAAAACAGTTTTACTTGCATATAGAAGCCTGAGTCTAAAATAACTAGACTTACACACATAGCCAACATGCTCCTGAAATCTGAAATCTTCATCCAAGTACAAACCTAAATTTTTTGCAGAATGGGAAAATATTAGGATACTATTATTTATTGATAAATTTAACTTTGATTTGAGGAAAGTACGTTTTTTCTTGGAGCAAAAAAGTATAGCTGTCGATTTCGATGCGTTTAGACGTAAATTATGTTTTTCAGCATATGTGCATAAGTACTGCAGATCTTGATTGATAAGGTTGTTAGCTAAATGGTAGTTGTTCGGACAGAAATTATGAAAAACCTGCATATCATCAGCATATGATTGACTAGAACAATGTTGAAGGGTGTTGGAAATGTCAAAGGTGTATATAAGGAATAAAAGTGGACCTAATATGGATCCCTGAGGCACGCCGGAACAAATCGGCCTTTTGTCTGAAAGTTTATTTTGTATGACGACATATTGATGTCGTTCATTTAAATAGCAATCTATCCATTCCAGAACCAAGTCGTCACACCCAATGTATTTACATTTAGAAACTAACAGCTTATGATTCAGGGTGTCAAAAGCCTTGCTGAAATCCAATAAGACTAATGCAGTTGCTTCTTGCCTATCCGCCGCTGTTAGTACATCGTCACAAACCCGTGCCAAAGCGGTAGTGGTACTGTGACCCTTTCTAAAGCCTGATTGATTTAATGGCAAAATGCTGCGTTCGAGTAAATACTCATTCAACCGCATATAGACTATTTTTTCTAGAATTTTTGATAGAGCTGACAGCAAGCTAATAGGTCGGAGATCACCAGGAACCTGGGGATTGGGAATCTTTGGAAGAGGTTGCACTAATGTTTCCTTCCAAGCACTTGGAAAAACACCGCGCTCTAAACAACAATTTATTAAGTGCAAAATGTATATTCCTACAGCAGGTAGACACAATTTAATCATCTCAATGGTAATGCCATCAATACCACTAGAATTGGACTTGATACTGCGAATAGCATCCAATACTGTAGATATATCGACAAGACGGAACTGAAAATGAAAATCTTGGTTTAATTTGTTATGGCTATAAAATTCGATAGTTTCCGAGCAATCATCGTCACTTTTCTGGAATATACTGGTAAAATAGTTATTTATTTCATTGGGAACTGCTAAGTCATCCGGAATGTCAGTATTACTAGAATCCTGAATTCTAAATGACTTAAGAGCTTTATAAAGAGCTGCAGAGTTTCTTTGTCGAGATAGATGTTGAAGGTAGCCTGATTTCTCTGCACGTGTAGCAGTTTTGGTAAAATTTCTCAGTTCATTGTAATGATTTCGATTCGCATCCGTTCGAGACCGTCTATATTTATGAAAAGCCTTATCTCGTTCTTTCATTATCATTTTCAAATTGTTTGTGAGCCATGGTGCACGAGGCTTAGACACTCTCACTGTTTTTAGTGGTGCATGTATGTCAAAAAGTCCTACAATGTTATCGGAAATAAATTTTACTTTCTCATCGATATTAGCCATATAAATAACTTCAGCCCAATTAACGCTAAATAAGTCATCGTCAAAAGAGGTTAGATCAAAATTGCGATAGTCTCTAAATGTAATTAGTCTAGGTGGTGGTTTATTGTTTTTACACGAAATGTGACAGAATACAGCCTGATGATCACTAAAGTTAACAGTGAAAGTTCCCACTTTGGAACATCTTTGTGCACAGTTGAAGAAAACCGGATCTAAAAGCGTTGAAGAATGATCGATTATTCGAGTTGGTTCATTCAATAACTGGTGCAGGCTATAAGATTGAAAGCACTGATTAATCTTATTATCAATAAAGAAATTAACGTTGAGGTCACCAAGTACCAAGATGCATTCATTCGACGGTGCTAAGATGGACAACGTATTATCTAATATGCTTACTGCAACATCCAAACTTCCCCGAGGCGGTCTATAAATAACACCAACTACAATACATTTACGGCCAATACGAACCTTGAGCCAAAGCATTTCTAGAGAAGTACGATCATATTCCTCAAACGATAGAATTTCTGATGAAAAACGATTTTTGACATAACAGCCAACCCCACCTCCGCGACTACCACGATCACGACGATAGAAGTTATAACCAGAAATATCTACTGAATTTGTTGGAATATCTGAAGACAGCCATGTTTCTGTAACAGCCACTACATCGAGATCCATATCATTAACCATGAAAGAAAGGTCCGCCATTGAAGGAAGAATTGATCTGGTATTAGAGTGAACAAATTTAATAATGTCAGCCATAGTTAATTCTACTTCTCAAATTATCAAAATGGCTTTTAAAAACAGTACAACAGCTAGAGTAAGACGCGTGATCAGTTGGTAGACCTTTCTTACTGGTTTTGTTAACATTAAGACAATTTATGCATTGGAAAACAGATGATTTACAATCTTTAGCTTTATGATTTTGGGAGCATTTTGGACATACAACATTAGATTTGCAGCTTATATCGGTATGACCATAACCACAACACTTAGAACACTTCAAAACACGTATATGATCACTAACAGGCGATTTCTTCCATCCGATGAACAGGAAACTTTTCTCTAACAAGATATTCCTAAGGTCAGGAGATACTTCTATGACGATATTTGTGCTCTCGTAATGCTTAAGTTTGGTAACGAATTTTATGTCAGACTGATGCGTGTCATCAATATTGTTTAAGGCTACAATATTATTGATTATCGATTCGGGCGAATCCAGACCGTCCAGGTTAACGTTTTTGATTAGCAGACGTGGATTAAGTTTTCTAGCTTCCATGATTGAATATTTGGACCCAAGCTCCTTATCCAAACTATTCTTAAGAACCGTAAGTGACTTCTCATCTTGACAGTGAACTGCAATTCCATTTCTTATTTTGTGCGTGTTATTAATGCAAACATTAATTTTAGCAGGATTTACTGAAGTTGTTACATCCCGCAGAATATCGTTATTGCCAGAGTTACTGTCAGACTTGATTAGCAAGACAGAAGACCTGTTCGGTATTTTTTTGACTGCATCGCTAAAGCTTAGCGTTGAGGAAGCAGATGATCTCGAAGGTAGCATAACTGAATTCATAGTGGAATGAGCTGCTTGTTGCTGATGCGAATCAATGACTGATTTTTGGAGATTGTTTGTGTATTCTAGTTGCTCTATCATCTTAGAGCTCAAGTTCTTCTCATGTGTTAAAAATTCGATCTCTTTTTTCAATGCTGCAATTTCAGAAGCCAGTTGCTGTTCACGTGACTGGGATTTGAGAATACATTTATCACAACTCCATGAAAAATTAACCCAATCAGAAAAGAGCTTCAACCAAGAGTCCTTCACCGAAACGCAAACTGTATGATATCTGCCTTCACATATACTGCATTCAATGTATTTTGAGTTGACTACAAAGTTGTCTTTACAGGAATCACAGGAGTCTGCATTAGATGCCATATTTACAAGTGGATCTAATTTCCTCAGACTATTAATTGCGATAAATTATTTCCAAAGAACATGACAAAAAAAAAATCTCGTAAGAAAGACTGTACCCAGGAATGTAGTTTTTGTGTTCTGATAGCACTCTAACTGATGCAACGGAAATAAGAAAAAACCCTCCAATACACCAACCAAACTTACGCAGATTTTATTGTCCTGGAGGATTTTCCACAAGCTAAATAGCAATATCAGTTTCACTGCAATAATCACATGATAACCGTTGATATATACACTTTTTACAGACAGACCAAAAACACGTCTACACGACTCGAGTAAAACTGAGTAAGTAAAAGTATTTTTCAAGTAAGGAGCAATCTGTTGGTTATAATTAGTGTAGTATTAAACTTTTTTATAAACCATGAGCTATCGATCGAAACCACACTAAAAATTAATCCTGTATATAGGACAACATAAATCATAAAGCGGCAGTTTAACGCTTTATCTGAGAAGCATTGAAATTTCAAATGAATAAATTTGGGAGCTATCCAAGTATATATGCCTTTTTTGAGAGAGTGAAGAGCTGAAAGAAATGTATTAGCATAATTCATGCAAATTAGGGCATTTGAGAGCATCAATGCCAGAAAACATGGAATTTGTTTCACATGCAACCTGCTAGAAACACATGTTGCTTGCGGTCAACATTACCAGATAAATATACAGTAGCAGTCTAATGCGACAGCAAAAATGAGCTGATACTGTAGTTGTCTGGGTATTTATGACTTACCTATGATAATGCGGAAAAAGGAAAAATATAAGTCAAAAAACACTACCAGGAAGCACAGTTTAAAGCTTTAAAATATTTCGCTGCCTTACTCAAACCTCAAACTTTCATTAAATGAGAGTTCGATGATATGCAGTACGATCACAAACTGGAAATCCTTTTACACAACAGATCCTTGGAGTTATTAACAACAAAAAAACGTCGTAGATCAGAGTATTTTGCATATATTATGGGACATCAAGAAAAGTATATCCTAATAAAGGTACTTAATTATGGAAATTATCGGAAATCGCATTCCAGATGGAAGAGGGAACTCATGTATACGTTAAAATTCTAGGATAGTGGTATTAGAAAAAGTACGACTCAACTACCATAGTGAATATGATAGCTACCGCTAACGTTAACGGCCAAAGCACACAAGAAGAAGTATGGCATGCATTGCTACTAGAATACTTTCCTGTTTGGTGAACAGCTCAAGCTCGAAAGGCCGGCTTCAAAGTTTATGCTAATATGCGCCCTCTCCTCACATTAATCAAGAGTTTCACGCCCTCATGATACTGTTCCCTGCAAGCTAGTAGTCCATATGATCGCAACTCGGTGTTTAGAAAATGACAAAAAATGCTTTTTTTTATTCTCCAACTATTACGAAGGCCTAAGGCCTAAGCACCCATTGAGTACCTTAGGGCTATAGGGGGATACATGGGAAAGGGGGATCACCACACGGACTCTGGCGAGGGAACACGTGTACATGCAACATGCACACATTCTGGCTCCGCCTACGAGATCCGCCGGGTGGTACCTCCGCGTTCGACCGTCTACCACCTACGGACAATCACAACATCCATAGCCAAGAGAAAAATTTCTCCTGGGACGGGACTCGAACCCGCACAGCGCACGGCGACTGATCAGGAGACCGAAGAGTCTACGACTGCGGCCACCGCTGCTACCTGCTGATTACGATATTATAAAATTGTCCGCTCCACTGAAAGTTTAGACTCTTAAGACACGATAAGTTTTTGTAGGAATTGTAGTTCCATTAACGTCAAGAACCTTACACTCGACTTCGGAATTCGATGAATAAATTTGAAACATTCAAACTGTGATTTACCGACAATCCGACATTACCATTTGCGCGGCCTACTGGCAAAATGTCGTACATCAACTCTGTAGGTCTTTTAGGAGAATTTCATACGACCAGTACTTATTGATCGTATAGCTTGGACGTCAGTAACTACTGATGTATAAGGTTATGTAGAAATCCACTGACACTGGCGGAATGATCACTAAATACTGATCGTACGTAAACTGAATGCCGATCGTGTGATATTCGCATGGCATTGAAATACACTCATTATTTAAGGAGCCTCAATCCCAATTACCGTAAGAACAACTTCCGCTCGCCGAATCTACTCATATGTTACGGTATAACAACTAGCATCCCATATACCTGATATAGGTACTGATATGTTCTGTCTCCCGTAGGATAATCAGAAATGTTACTGTGCTGTCATTTCCCAATAATCAATGACAGCTTTGTTTAAGCATTACGTATATAGGCTTTATCAACGTGTATTTTACTTTGTCGTTCTGGAGCGGCAAACCTGCAAATGTCCTGAAAAACGTCTAGTTATTTTTGAATTTGTCGGTTAGAGAAAACGACCAGGATTTTTACGTAACACATATTGGCAACCGCGCTTGGAAGGAAAGGAAACGAGAACGACAACAGCCGCAGAGAATGTAAACTTGTTAATAGTAAAATGCAGTGGTGCTTATCCGGGAACCGTTTCGTGCACTAACAACTGCAGAAATACCGCATTTTCATACCGCATTGTGAATGTGAATCAAAAAGTAAATAACAAAAAATGTCTTTGGTGCGACCGATTTCCGTACGGTTCAAAAGTTCTGTTAGTGGTTAGTTTGAATGTGAGGAATTTACTATGTTAACCTGTTTTTGAGAGGTGAGAGAGGCTCTTTTACGTTTGGTTGCATGGGTAGTGGTAAGGTCGTTTTCAGGTAGATGTGGGTTTCATTCAATGAAACTGATTTTACAATTACCTGCCTACTGCTTAATATTCTCACTACCGTTTATGGATGTCACTTTCGATGATCTGACATCAACAGGACAACACTTTTAAAAATAAAACCAGTACAGGTCACATACAAAAAGCTTAAATGAAAAATAACTTAAAGATGGGCACAATTTTAGCTTGTGGTAGATTGTTGACAATTATCTAACCTATAAAAACTGTTGTAGTTGTTTTGGGTCAGCTGACGTTGACAGTATCGATTTTTGAAGGGTGATGTTACTGACCATTCATAAGATTGTATACGTGAAGACACCTCACATAGCTATAACCATTGGATATACATAAAAATTATTCATAAAATAAAAAATATGTTTAGCTTTGTTGTCAAATTCTCAAAGTTGATGTGACCCTGTAGATTACCATTAGAATCTCCTAGATATTTCGGAAAAAATGACTACGCCACTGGCCTTATCAGTTTTTACACTGATGACTTTTCCTATTCTTTTTAATTTTATTTTCGTCTAGGTCTACCATTGGAATATGCTTTGAAAAAATAAACATATCCTACGGCAACGTTTGAAAAATATATCAGCTCCAAGTTTGAACTTCTATTGGCAGATTTTTAGGTATTTATCCAGTGGCGGCGTTATTTTTTTCTAACAAAATTATTTTAGATACACACACCTAAATCAAATATCGAATTATATTTGGCTGATTTCTAGTTAGTATTTTAGAGGCGACATTTTTTTGAGCTATTAAAATTATTTAGATACACCTAATAACAAAATTATTTCATATATCGAATTATATTTCCAATTACAAATACTCCCATACATAAGCAAACATTAATTTCTGGATTTTTTGACCTCCTTATATCCTTAGAAATCTGTCATTCGTTTCCATAGGTTAGTGGGTCTGGTTGTCTATATGCCATCTATATCTTTCTGTTGTCATACAACACGTCAAATTGTTGCATCGATTTTTACGAACTATAATATAGAATCGCCATTATTTTAAAAATCGATACACTGGCAGTTGAGTAATTAAAGAAATAAATTATCAACATACCCCCTTCTCTAGAATGTTTTTACATTTCCAATTATCCTTGGACATAGGACTGATATTTATAAAAATTTTAAAGTCAGTTTTTGCCATATATCATGGCATAGTTCGGATTCCCTGTACTTGAAAACTGTATTTTTGATATACAGGATGTTCAAAAAGTTGGGGTTTTCCTTCCCAGAAACAACTCCGCTTAAAATGGCAAAGTTAATGCATCATAAAACAGTGGCAAAATGTGCTAAATACTCATTGTGTGCGTCTATCCTGGTTTCATCGTAATACGCTCTAGGCGACTTTTTGCAGAACCTTTTTTTGTAAAATTGTAATTACAGCTTCATCAAGCGCCATATCATGCGGCTAATATTTGTATTACTATTTGGCGTCCTGGCCATTCATTCGAAAAAAGCAATTTGTTAACTTTTTTCTCAATTTGCAACATTCAGGAATATCTACTCGACGTTCCTACAAGCTGTCTTTGTACGAGATAAACAAATATACGCGGCGCGGGATGCAAACATCCAGCATCTTGAAGACACCGTAAACCGACATATCAAAATAACAAATTGTTAATCTTTATCCATTATTCATATCCTCTTGTGACAGTTTTGTATTGTGGTGAAAAAATGTTATACAAAACAATAGAGATCAATAAAAATGTGACAATATATGTTGTATGTGAATAATTATGGGTACCATCTTTATCTTATTTCCAAAATTTGTCGATAAGATTTTTATGTCTACGTTCGCTAAAATTGGCCTTGGAGTCGACTAAATTGGGATATAAAAGCAACATATCTATAAGTATAAGGCTGGAATAGGGGGTAGAGAATTTTACGAACATATTTATAGCTTCTTGTTAGCTTCGCTCTGCTGAACTGGAATAAAATCACGTTTCACAGATGATCAGTTCGAGGTGGCTACGACTTTATGGGGAAATTTTACAGACGTTTCGGGAAAATGGAACGGACAGAAAGTATCAGTGGCGGAAAAAGTGGAGCATAAGTGCCTCGCTAGATGCCTATGAACCGTGGCTGTTGTAAAGAAGTCAAAGGCAACAGAGATCTTTTTACTAGATCTTTGAACTGACAAATTATTTTGCATCTCGATATTTTAGAATCGAAGAATTGGTCCAACGGATCAGTTCCACGATATACAGGGTGTCAAAGTTTTAACGCCCTACCTAAACATTTCGAAAACTATCCATCCTAGAGAAAAGGTTTCAAACAAAACCTGTAGGGTTTCGAGGGTGCAAAATGATTGTGACCTTGATAATGTCCTTGCGCACGATCCTTAAGGTCATTTCGATGTCGAGTGAACATTTTCAAACAAAACTCTCCAAATTTTAAGTAATATGACGATCACCAGGACCTTGACCATTTCCTCCAAGGCCATTTCAAATTTCAATCAAGACGTTGGAAACAATTTGCTCTGACAAAAATGTCCGACAGCACACCTATGATGACCATGACCTTGACCTTCAAAGTCGAGCCCAAATTCTACGTGTGAATATGACCTTAACCTCAAAGTCAAGATTATTTCAAGTTCAAATATTATTTGACGTCAATGTCACATTCGGCCGTAAATTTTCCTGCTTTTTCCATTTGCAGTATAAAAATGAGAGGTTTCCTTTGGAAATATTGACTTGACCTTTCAGTGTCGAACATGTTTGTTGGAATAAATCGTTTTGAATGTCTTGAATTGACCTTAAAATGGCTTTGAAGGTCATAGTTAAGGTCAAGGTCATGATCAAGGTCATATTGGAGTAAAATTTCCTCCTCTTCAATTCTGATATGGAAAGGGGGAGCTCCGTATGAAAATATTCACTTCACCTTGAAATGAATTTGAATGCCGTGGTCATGGACATCGTCAAGGTTGCCCCCTCGATACCCTACGACTTTTGCTTAAAACTTTTGTTCTAGAATGCGCACTTTTTTATGTGCGAAGATAGAAAGATAGATAGGAACACCTTGTATTTATACAGCTCGTTCTACTTCGCAGGCTTAACGAAGTGTAAATTAATATAAATCTATTAGCTGTGAACCGATAACCCAACTTATTCCCAATCACAGCTATGATTCTCAAAACGAAGGACTCACTGAAGCTTGGTCTCGTCCACTTAATCGGATTTGCGTTTGGGTGCTGACAAGGCAAAAATAAAAACCGAAGATTGAAAATTGAAGATCAGGGAAAGGGGAGGGATTGGCATAAATCCTATGTAAAAAAAGTAATAGAATCAATTTTCTAGGAAATTAAATAATGTATATTACTTTGCTTCTATAAAAAATTGTCGTATAGTCAACAGATTATGAAAGATTAAAGGGTAAAGGTACATGTAATGATATTTCCGTTTATAATGGCTAAACTAAGAATCTAAGAGTAAAAAACACTACAATTTTTTGTAGAGAATATAATTTGCTACGTTTTTTTGACACCTTGATGGCTCTTGGAGTATAAATAGGGAAAGCTGAAAATTCGTATCAGAACAGTCGCACTACGTACGTTTTCTACGTCATCCGCATTCAACATTATCACAGATTTCTTAATCATCATATATGATCAAGAATACCATTTTAAAGTGAATCAATTTTTTGACACGTGAAAGTATGGAAAATATATTTTTGATAATATGTGATGTTTTCATTAAGAAGATCAACTCACGTACTCTCATGAGTCTGTCAATTGGAGACTTTGCCCCTGAGTAATTTCAGTAACCGTTGCAGCGATTTTAATGAATGAGATGTGGCAGATAATGCTGGCTTATGGCAGCTCTTATGAGCTTATTGGTTTCTTTAGATACCATCATGTATCAAAATTTCACGCGATTTTTTGATGTTGGCCAATACTTATTTAAGAAAATTCGATTTCCATTGGTATTCTTTAGGGGCATGTTTTTCCAAAACAAAGTGGTGTTTCCAAATTTGTCAAAAGACCTAATTGTCTTGAAATAATCTAAAGAATCACCTCTTGAATTTTAGATTCTTGATTTGAAAACATCCATTATACTCGTATTGCATACCTTTTAACTCGCCTGACAGTTGCATTTATCAAATTAGCTAAATCATGTTAAAATTTGAAGCTTTAAACTAGAAGCTTCATTTGTTAATTTATTTTGACAATCCTCTAGATTTATTCTTATAAATTTTTCCTATTAACATAGCCATCTTGATAACTTCACTAACTGGAAGTGTACATTATACATATCTATTTGATTTATCACTTAGATGTGTTCAATAATTAAACCTAACGTGCAGCTTACAGATTATTCAGTGTAATGTGATGATTAGGAATACGATAAGCACAAGATAAGCTCACCTTGAAGCAGTCGAATCTCATAGTGGAAATTCGTGAAAATTGTGTATTGACAAGTTGAAAAATAATTCGTTTTGAATGTAAGTGTTAGGAATACAATTTAACATATGAATGCATATTGAGTTTCGTATATAGTCGGTAAATAGTAAAATTGATAGGAGAATAATACGCGTGTGAGTGATATTTGATACGGCATATATAGGCCATTCTCACAAGGGCGCATCCTTGAAGTAAATTTAAGTGAACAAGTGTAACATCTGAAACTCATCCTGTCGCTCGGAGATCAGCATCACGTTTGAGTGATTTCCAGCGCCCTTATAAACCCTCCGAATCACTGGGTCGGGAATGTTTGCTCTATGTTTAGAAAAAGTGCTGCTATATGAAAAACAAAAATGGGTAAAACAAAATGATTTAAACAGATATCAACAATTTTCAGCGCAATTTTACTTAATCCAGCTGGAACAGTAGAAAATAATATTTTAATGAAACAAGAACATCTATGATATAAATTATTCCTCATATTCAGAGATATTTAATTGTCGCATAATCCCATCGCTATT